TTCATATTATATTATATTATATTATCCCAACACGATTCCGTACGATTTTTTTATGCAACGTTATCATTCAATTTGTAAGCTCTCTTAATCAAATTATAAGTTATAACTTAACAGTAAAAATTGACGTGATGCCTAATGTGATCAGTCCTTATCACCTATACTACGATCTTTGGGAAACATGCACCGACGATTTACTAAAAATCCCTAGAACCAGTCACTGGTTGTATCTTTATTATACATAAATTTAAAATAATAATTTGAAAATAGATCAAAATATTTTAAGCAATTCATTAATCATTATAATTAGGGCTCATAGTATTTTTTTTTAACTTTTATACTTTTAAATTACCTATTATTATTTATAAATAATAGTAAGTTGCTATAATATTCGATTTAATGTGATGTTTTTTTTGGAAAAATGGATTATAGAATATACTATTAAATTTACTTTGGACCGTTTATAATGTTGCTAGCATCTTACGAACAACACAATATATTAGTATCAAATTAAAGCTTAATATGAACGTTCCTACAAAATCTGATATTCAAAAACACATCTCTGACTATTATGAAATGGACCGAGTCAAAATATCTAACAAAACAGTTACTATTTCTGTCCCACAAAAAACCATAATAATATGTGCTTTACAGTAATTTATGTTTTGTTTATATTAGGCCTGTCATGTTTTTCGACATTATATTATTATATCATGTTGTTGTTTATATTATAATATTATCCCGTCGGACTTACGGCGGTCCATTTCTCTCTTTCTCTGTTCCTGTCCGACGCCTGTATATTGTTGTTTATGTTTTTTTATTGTTTTGTTGGCGTGCCCACCTGCAGTTTTCCCGAAAATAAAACCGTTCACGTTCGGGGACACGCCAGTGTTCGCCGGGCAGTCCGCCCAAGTGGCCTGTTCGGTTTCGGAGGGAGACTCTCCGCTGGAGTTGTCGTGGACATTTGACGGGCCCCAGGACGTGTTTGGTCTGGGCGTGTCTGTGGTGAACATCGGCGCGAAAACGAGTCTGTTGTCAATCGACAACACCGACTCCGTTCACCGGGGAAATTACACTTGTCGCGTTGCGAATCGCGCGGGCCGGGCGTCTTATACGGCCGGCTTGAACGTACACGGTACCTATACCTATACCTATACACTTACGGTTGGACCGCATTTCACCCGGGTGGCGGATCGCTATACGTTTTTCAGCATGTGACGAATACCTACTAATTGTCAGCTGCAAGTTGCAACTATATATTATTATATAAAACAATCGAATATATACGGTGATTCGCCAAGCATGCTCACCACTATTTTTCCTTAAATAATGAATTTATTCAAATTCTGTTTTTTGGAAATGTCAATATACTCAAAGACCATATTTTCGGATTCTTGAATTTTTTGTATTACTTAAGGAGTGTTCTATGGCGATACAAACTTCTATTTTTTTGGCTGCAACTTGTTTGCGCACATTTTATAATTTTTACCTGAAAAATCGGAACTCATTTGCGCACACGGTTATCCTAAATGTACAACTGGTTTGCGCACACGAAAATAAGGCTATATGACATAAGCGCCAAAGGTGCAAAAATGCAAGGCTGGGCATTAACGAGTTAAAAAGTTAAAGTTAAGTTAATAAGTTAATTTTATATTAACTTTTTAACTTAACTAGTTACTTTTGGCTTTTCATTAACTTAACTGTTAACTGTTAAAAATGACATATCATTTGCGCCAAAATAAATATTTTATATAAGTAGTTTTTCTAAATTGATATATCTTATAAAAATGATATTATATATGTATACTATATTATACTAATATTATTTTCTATAAATAGTTATTTGAAAATTGCTGTCTTATAAGAATATTTTTATATAGAATATTAAAATATAGAATATTTTAACAATTATTATCAATAATAAGCAAGTATTAACATGCATTTTTAACCACACCTAAGAATATATTCATAGACAGTCCTAAAGTCTGTTAAGTGAGAAGGAAAATGTATGTAGGTACTTTAATAATTTACTTATTAAGAGGGTATTAAAAGGTTAGGCCATAAGGTAACTGTGCGCAAACCATGTGCATGTTTACGGCTCAACTGTTCCCAAACCAGTGGTAGTATTGTGCCCAAAAAGTTGTCTTTTTGGTATTTGTGCGCAAACCAGTACCGCCCATTTTTTTAATGAGAACCCCCTATTTTATTGTAAATTAAAAAGCGGATTATTTTTTTTGAAAATTTCGATATACCGCAATCAAAATTCAAATGAGTAGTTTCTTATTTATCAAAATGTTTGTATTAAGGATAATAACCTTTAAAAACTTTAAATTTGGTTTTACTATTGATTATAGTTGGGCCACTTTTACAAACTATTAATTTATATTAGATTTATCTTAATATTTATATCTTATAAACTCATGTCTATGGACCTCTTATCCTTAGAACTTAAAATAAAATAACTCGATCAAGAATTACTCTTACAAATTTAGATTTTAATACTTCAATAATTTGAGAAAAATTATCTACTGTGTAATTTATAGTTAAATAAAAGTGTTCTCATTTGAAAAACAGAAGTTTGTGTATCCACAGAACACTCCTTAAGTAGTACAACAAATCTCGAGAATTTGAAAATATGGTCTTAAAGTATATTTAAAAATTTTAAAAATCAGATTTTGAATAACTGCATTATTGAAAAAAAGGGGTGAGCATGCTTGGTGAGTCACCCTGTATGTACGCATATTATATTATTTTATTATATTAAAGCTATATATCGTAGTCCATAGACCATAATACCCGCATATTCCCCATCACCTGCCCGTGGCTTGAGGCTGCAGTCGAACTTTTACAGTATTAATTGTTTGTTGCATTTTACTGTGGCATTTCATCGATATTTCGTCCAACGACAATAATATTATTGTTTATTATAAAATCTACCGCCATGATAAGTGTCCAAATTTATGTATATTATTATACATTTTTTTTAGGGGAAATTTAAAAGTTGTCTGCTTTGAATCAAATTTACTGAAGAGCCCGATCCTGTTTATCCTAACACTTCCTCTGTTTCGTAAAATCCATAATTATTTCGTTTAACGATTATTTGATTGTTATTACCTTACCCTATAAATGTATCCTACCCTTCTTACTACGCGCGATCGTTATTCCCTCAGCAACGCATTATTTTGGGAAAAAAGTCGGTACCTAGTTACCAATTTATTTGATATATGCGTATTTTACTGAATGAACGTACAAGCATTTTTTTAGTGCGTACCTATGAATCCGAGCTCTCTATGTTATATTTCTATTGTTTCCATCAAGTTTTGGGGATCAATTGATTTCCTCGAGACTATTATTAACAAATACAAACCACCATAACCGTTTTTCATCACGTTTTTTTACTGTTAAGATTAGGAATTTGTTTTTGTTTTTTTTAGTACCTCCTCGTATCGTCCCGTTTGCGTTTGATGAGCCTATATATTCCGGCCAATCGGCACAAATCACATGCTTGGTGTCCGAGGGTGACGCCCCTTTGAATATATCTTGGTGGTTTCGCAAATCCGAAGAGTCTGAACTGAGACCGTTGCCCGCTGGCATATCGGTGAACAAAATGGGTAGTAAATTGTCCATGCTATTCATCGAGTCCACGTCTTCATATTTCGCCGGAAATTACGCGTGTGTCGTAGAAAATCGAGCCGGGAGTTCTAAACACACATCCGCGTTGAATGTCCACGGTAAAACGACCACTATCTACAGCCTTATAACTATATACAACTTCGCGGCTTGAATGAATGCTTTTTGGTATTGGAATGCGTATAAGATCCGTTGTATCTATCTATTATAACATCATATAGCAGGGATTGGCAACTAAAGCGGTCCACGCTGGTAACCTAACCATCTTAAAATGTATAAGATATCGTTTACATAAATGAGCTACATAATAAAAAAATGATTTGAAAGACATTTTCTTTGGTTTTTTTACGTGAAAAAAAAATCTACAAATTGATCTTATTTAATCTGTTATTATAAATTGAAAATAATAATAATAAAGCATGGCATTTTTATTTTAAATTAGTATTGTAATAACATAGGAATATATACCTATAATAATATAGAACAAATAATAAAAAAATAAAGCCTTAGATTCTCAGCAGGACATTTTGATTATGATTTGCAATGTATACCCAATGATTAATAAATAAAATATAATATATTTTTATAAGTAAATTAGCAAACGAATAGAAATAAAAAATGTTCATTAAAATACAATAATATACAGCCCTCGGGCTTGGAAGTTTTTAAAACTGGCCTTTTGTTAAGTCTTTGGGTTGCCCGTCCCTGTTGTTGTTATATGCTATAGTAATATTATGTTATTGCGTCCAGCTGCAGTCTTTTCCGCGCGCGCGCATACCACTCTGTATTCACGACGCACAATCCGCGCTCCCGGTGTATATACACACATATACAGTCAAAAACGTCATTTTTCATCCCATTCGCGACGCGTGCGTGGGCATCGATTTTTTTAGTTCTGTGAGATACGGTTTTAATTTCGACCCTTAAACCATTTTTGTTTTTTCAAAATTCGCCATGATTTTTATTTTTAGTTCTGTATTTAATAGTAGGCAGTCATTGTGTCACGGTGATCGGAAACTACAGAAACCCGTGCACGACGTGTACCAGCCGCAAGGCCGTAACTGAAAACAATTTTTTTTTTTTGGGGGGGGGGTGGAGGGTCCAATATTTTTTTAATATAAATACTATACACTCATTATTTGTGTGTTCAATGACTGTTTATTCTCGTGATTATTGCTTTAACGAAAATATAAAATTATTCTCCATACAACAGTCAATACCTCCTACCTATATTTAAACAATATTTACCTCTAAAATGTGTTCTAATTTTAAAAAAATTCAGGGGGGGTCCGGAACCCTGGTCCCCCCCCGCCACAGTTACGGCGTAAGCGAGGTGCACTGTACTGTATGACGGTCGACCGCTTGTGTTTCAGTTGCCCCCCGAATAGAGCCGTTCAGCTTCGGCGATCCCGTGTACGACGGACAGTCGACGCAGGTAACGTGCTTCGTTTCGGAGGGCGATACGCCGTTAGACTTGTTCTGGACGTTCAGCGGCCGCGCCGGCCCGGCCGCCTCGCCGCTTCGAGGCGGCGTTTCCGTTAACAAAATGGGAAGCAAGGTGTCCATGCTTTACATCGACGCCGCCTCGTCGTCCCGTCACGCCGGCAACTATACGTGCGTCGCCACCAACCGGGCCGGTCGCGCTGACCGCACGGCCACGTTAAACGTCCATGGTATAAAACTGCACGGCGGTCACTACCAACCACCGTTACCGTGGTTATACCGGTTGCCATCCAGTCCTTTACTTAGATTGTTTTATATAATATCATAATATAGTATCAACTATGTAATAACATATACCTACTGCCCTGATATGTGGACAAATGTTTGTGTCCTCGGTGGCTGCAGAATCCCGTTTTGTTTGAACGTGCAGTGCCTGCAGTTGTGCTTTTGTAGACGTTGTTTACGATATGACTTTTCATTTTCCATTTTTTTTCCAGCGTTTCGGTAACCGCCATCGCCACGGCCGCACTTTTTTAGGTTCTGCGCCTCCCCCCCCCCTCCCGATATCTACTATGAAATGGTCGGGTTTCATGTACATAAGTATACCTACCTCTTTCCGACTACTCCTACCTATAAATACTACATTTATTTCGTTACGGATTGGGTTCCCATTTTGTTCTGGTTACAAGGAATTGATGAGTCGAAAGCGTTTATCACAATATAGTTTTAATGCGCGTGTTTTTATTTAAAACAATACCTTTATTAAATCAACAAAAATAAATTTGGCACATTTTATTAATTCAATAATTTTTTTCTCTCTCGAATGTCGACCAAATCGTCATAACATTTTCATGGTATTTCTTATAATTATTTTTTAAAAAAAACATACAAATATCAGTTGGATACCCCTAATCTGATTTTCTATTTTCTAGATATTTATTCATTTTTTTAAACATACCTATTATTTTTTGACGTTAGAGGTAAAATAATATTTCTTGTAAAGATTGCAATAATAGGATTGCCTAATATTAAAAATAACAAAGGTACCTACAGTTCTTAAAATTATTTTATATGAATACAATCCCACATAGGTAGGTATATAGGTACCGATTTATTGAATAAGTCTCACCTACCCATCTGTCTGCACGATGTTGGTCACGAATATTAGGATAGAGGATTATATTTTATTCGATTCTCGGCCGGCCCAAGCATTTTTTGGTGTCGTTCCACTGCGACCTGGAGGTCGTTAAATAATATTTTCGTCTTCCTTACATTTTTTCTTTTTGCAGTATCGTATAGTACAATAGAGTTATAGATACTATTGTTACCATCTAATTTTTTTTTATTATGATGTCCTCTGACGGCGGTTTTTTCGTGCGCGCGTGTGTGTGTGTTGCAGTCAAACCGGAAGTCGAACCGTTCTCGATTACCGATAGTACGTTAAATGAAGGGGGATCGACGAAAATCTTGTGTTCCGCCTCATCCGGAGACACGCCGATGCACTTCTCGTGGACCGTCGACGGCCGTCGATTGGCGGACGCGGCTAACGGTGACCGTCTCAAAGTGCAGCGGTTGGACGAATTGACTTCGTTGCTTTCGTTGACCAAAGCGTCGCCGGAAAACGCCGGAAACTATAGCTGCGTCGCACGAAACGAAGCTGGTTCCGCCTCGCGCACAGCTACTCTGAAAGTCATGGGTAAACCAATAATACGCCTGCCTTTACATGACCGTAGCCATTTTCCTCCAGAAATGAGATATCGTAATGTATTAATCCGCATTGCCCATTTTCCTCAAAAAATAAAAATAAAAAATAAAAACAAATACAAAACAATTCTTGACCATTTTCCTCCAATGTCCATTTCCTCCCATTATTTAAATAAGAAACTGTCGCACTCTTTTTAATTTGAGTAAATCCATATCATTGTCAGGCCAATATTATTTTTTTATTTGTAGTTTAACACATCGAATATGAAATTATTGATTAATTAAAATTAAAAATCATTTTGTTAAAACAAAGTAAAATATTATTGATTTATAATAATTAAAATATAATAAACAAATTATCATCTATTTTTTTATTACCAATATATATTTAATAATATTAATACGAGTGTTATAAATTAGCTCATATTGAAGTACATGAATACAAATCAACTAATTTTCGTCATCATTTCATACGCATGAAACAAATAATATGATAGTCTTAATATTTAAAAAATTAAAATTAATACTTTAATATGATCATAATATTTGGAAGAAAATAGACATAAATCAAGTTCAAAACATTGTGTGAAGGAAAATGAAAGGTGCCTTTCTGTTTTTGGAAGAAAATTAACAGTGTAGGAATACGGTATCTCATTTTTTTGAAGAAAATGGTCCCGCCCGCCTATATATAACACGATATTGTAATTGGGTATTTCTCGCAAGTTCTTCGTCGCGAATTTATTTTGTGGTTTTTCTTTCTTATTTTTTTTCTTGCATTCTACGGTATAAAGTATGGTCGTTCGACGTACAATAATATTCTCATGTATCGTTTTCGCTGTGCCGGCAGCCAGTCTTCACCTAATCAACGCGCTCGCAATGATGCCCGCCATCGAGTTTTCCGATAGGAATTTGGCGCCTAAAGACATAATATATTATAAACGCATTGCCACGTAGGTAATAATAATATATTATATTAATACGGGTACGTCTTATAAATGATACCCATGGGATATACTGTATACATGTGTGTGCGACGTGTGTGTACGAGTTTCGGATTCTTTTTCATCAAGGTCCAGCGACCCATATGTATACCCACGTGATTTCGTGTGGTAGGTACGTATCGATATACCATACCACGAAAGTCTCGCAGGTACTCATAAACTAATACTTTTAGATATGGTGTTCATCTACGTATCGAAAGTTGTAAGACTTATCGTGCCCGTATTATTTTTTAATGGTCGCGCATTTAGAATTTAAAAAATACTTTTCCTAAATATTGAATCCAACCGTCATTATCCGTCCTACACCATCCTTTCTGTTGCTTATAGTGTAGTCGCTTGAATTTATCATAATACTAAGTGCATGCAATTAATACCTATATAATGTAACGTTATTATCATACGGTGGTTTTTTATAACATTTTTGTTTTTTGTTTGATAACAATTTTTAATGTGTAGACATTTTTCAAAATATGTATTTACCCCACAAAGCCACAACTGCGTTTTTTTCTTACAACAGTTATTACACAGCGTGAAGATCAAATTACAGTTTATTCAATTTTTATCTATAAAATTATCAAACGTTTTTATATTTCTTTAATTTACAATATATTGCTTCTTTGACGTTTTTCAATGGAACCATCCAGACTTGTAGATATTCACTATTGTTCAAAATATTGTAGACAATTTGTTTTTCAAATTTCTTCTTTGTCCTTAAATTTTACTTAACTTGATTACGTATTTACGTCCCTAACTTTAATATTATGTAATCTGTCTACACATTTATATTATTTTTTGCTGATTATTATACGTAGTTAGTACCTACCTACAGTTTTACTACTGCATTTTATTTCCTAGCACGCTTTTACGCACTAAAAATTAAGTTTTTCTTTGTGATGATGAATTCAAAGTCGTTAAAAACATATATTAACTTTATATACTGTTAATGGTATATGTATTTTTTTGCATAAAATATAATCTATTAATTTCATCACCAGAAAAGCTTTATTTTAAAAACTATTAACATCAAGTGGCAAGAGTTTCAAAATTTTATTTTTTGGTTATCTATTTATTACTATACATTTCAGATAAAAACTGTCTTGTATGCGTTAATTACTTATAGGTTAAATGTAATTTTCCAAACAACACATACACTATATGTATATATTGTTTATATACCTATAATGTATGTTTATAAACATTAAATTAATATTAAAAATAAATAGACTCTTGCTACTCCGTTACTTTAAGTCCAAGTTCATTATCTAAATAGTTATGTTTTTTTTTATTTAGTTCCTCCCAGGTGGATACTCGAACCTACTGACAAAGCATTTGCACAAGGTGGTGATGCAAAAATTGAGTGTAAAGCTGATGGGTTCCCTAAGCCTCAAGTGACATGGAAAAAAGCTATCGGTAAGTATTTTTTTATGAATTGACTATTTGATGACTAAACCAGCTATACTCAACCTGCGGCCCGCCAATGGCCCAAACAGAACTCATTAAATTGATAAAATGTCAAAACTAATATAAGTATAAAATAGGCAACTAGAGACCAGATGTATACAAAATAGTTAAAGAACTATCTCAATGTCAAAATTCCCAGTAATTTAAAATAAATATTTAGTTTTTTACTATACATTTTCGATATACAAATGCATATTTAATTGTTTTTTTTTTTAATCGCCGTTCCGCTCATTTTAACTATTGCGTCCCGCGTAATATTTTAAAATATTTTATGTGGCCCAAATAAAAAAAAGGTTGTGTATGGCTGCTCTAAACAATTATTAAATTTAATATTTGTTCTACAGGTAATTCTCCGGGAGATTATAAGGACATTAAAGATTTAAAACCAGGCAGTGATGACATTAAAGTTGATGAAGGAACATTGTCGATCCATAATATTCAAAAAAATCATGAAGGTCACTATTTGTGTGAAGCTGTTAACGGAATTGGTTCTGGACTGTCTGCGGTTATCACTATCAGTGTACAAGGTGAGGGGTAAAAAATAATTATAATGGAAGTATTTATTTACTAATTTTGGAACTTGAATTAAGCTCCACCACATTTTGAGATAAAGGCAAGAAATCAAACTTCTGAAAAAGGACAGCCTGCTGTTTTGGAATGTATGGCAAAAGGAGAAAAACCTATTGGAATTGTTTGGAATATGAATAACAAACGACTAGATGCTAAGGAAGAAGAAAGGTATTATGAAATTTAAAGAATCTTATTGAATTAAATGATAAATATATCAATGACAATATTATTTTATTGAAATTAATGTATGACCTGTTTTTTGTTCTTTTTTTTAGATACACAATACGTGAAGAAATACTAACAGATGGAGTAAAATCAGACCTAAGCATCAAAAGATCTGAACGAATTGATACTGCTGTTTTTACGTGTGTTGCTACTAATTCATTTGGAAGTGATGATTCAAGTGTTCAACTTATTGTTCAAGGTACACATTATTTATATCAATTATCACAATTTGCTTAAATTTGTTGTACCTATTTAAATATTGGTTTATTTAACTATTATAGAGGTGCCTGAGATCCCGTTTGGATTAAAAGTATTGGATAAGTCTGGCCGTACCGTTCAATTGTCTTGGTTAGCTCCATATGATGGAAATTCGCCTATCACTCGTTATATTGTAGAATACAAATTGTTGAAAAGTAATTGTATTATTATAAATTAATGTTATAATTAATTTATTATTAATGTCTAATAATTTAAATTGTTTTAATCACCAGACACATGGGAAACAGATGTTGAAAAAGTTGAAGCTACAGGAGATAAGACTGAAATGAGTGTAGTCAGTCTTCATCCAGCTACAACATACCATTTTAGAATAGTTGCAGAAAATGGAGTCGGTGTTTCTAAGCCTTCTGATCCAGTTACCATAATTACGTCAGAAGAAGGTAAATCATTGTATTCATTATTTTCTGTGGTTTCTAATAAATTAATTGTTATACAGCTCCTGGTGGAAAGCCAACTAACATTCACGTCGACCCTATTGACGAAAATACTTTAAAGGTAATGTGGAAAGCTCCAGAACGTAGTGATTGGAATGGTGAAATTCAAGGATATTATGTTGGATATAAACAATCGTCATTAGTTGATAACAAATTTGTGTTTGAAACTGTTGAGTTCAGTAAAGAAGAAGGAAAAGAACATTATTTGGAAATATTCAATCTAAAGTATGTTAACAGCTATATTATGTTGTTTTTTTCTTATTGTTTTCATAATTTTTAATTAGTACAATATTACATTTCTACAATTTATATACATAAATATCTTATGTCCACATATTTCGCATTCAACATTTACCTACTCTGTATATCTATGTATAACTCATATTTAATAGGTACTTAATTATAATATTGTTTTTATTTTACTGTTGTCTAGAACATATACTCAGTATACAATAGTAGTACAAGCCTTTAACAAATTAGGCGCTGGACCAATGTCTGATGAAATTAAACAATACACTTCTGAAGGCGTACCAGAACAAGCACCACATGATACAACTTGTACAACTTTGACAGCTCAAACTATTAGAATTTCTTGGGTATCACCTCCACTAAGCACAGCTAATGGAGTTATTAAGGGTTACAAAGTAATTTATGGGCCTAGTGATTCTTGGTTTAGTAAGTATAATCATTCTATTCCACCTATGCTTATGTTATTTATTTATATTTTTTTAATAAATGTAGATGAAAGTACAAAAGACACAAAGATAACAGTATCAAGTGAAACTATTTTACATGGTCTTAAAAAGTTTACAAATTACAGCATGGAAGTATTAGCTTTCACTGCAGGTGGAGATGGTGTTCGTGCTCCTAAAATATATTGCCAAACTGAACAAGATGGTAAAAATTAATACGATAAAATATAAATGATCAGTACTTAGTAATTTTTTGTGCGTACTAATTACAGTCCCAGAAGCTCCAGCCGGTCTCAAAGCTTTGGTTATGTCTCCAGAGTCAGTCTTAGTAAGTTGGAAACCTCCAGCAGAGCCTAATGGAGATGTCAACCAGTACACTGTTTACATTAAACCGAGTGGTGATAATAAAGATGTATGTTTAAATAATATTTGAAATGTTTTTATTTTATTTTATAAAAAATGTTGAAGTAAATTGAAATAATAAAACCAATAAAAATGTAGTCATTCGATTAGATAATTTAATTTTTTTTTTTATTTTAGAAAGAACCAATGGCACATAAAGTTGCTCCAGATCAAATGAGTTTTGAAGCATCTGGTCTTATTAAGCAAGATCCTTATGAATTTTGGGTTACAGCATCGACAAATATTGGTGAAGGACAACCTACCAAATCAATTGTTATTGCACCTAGTACTCGAGGTATTTGATGATTAATTATAATTAATACAGTAGATAAATAATATTTGTGTTTATTTTAAGTTCCTGCTATGATTGCATCTTTTGATGATTCATTTGTCGCAACATACCGTGAAGATGTAAGACTTAAATGTTTAACTGTTGGCGTACCAGCTCCAGAAATTTCATGGAAAGTTAAAGGTGCACCCCTCGAGAGCAATGATCGTATTCGTCAGTTACCAGAAGGTTCCCTTTTAATTAAATCTGTCACTAGAACTGATGCTGGGGAATATTCCTGCTTTGTGGAAAATTCGTTTGGAAAAGATAAAATCACACATCACATTGTGGTCTTAGGTATTTTATAAAGTAGGTACATAGTGTGAGTATGATAATTCATGTTAAATATATTTTACAGCACCACCTCACAAACCAGAAGTATCTGTTGGAGCAACAACATCCAATACAATAACATTAAATCTAAAACCTCATGCTGCTGACAAAGAACCCATTCATGGATATACAATCAAATATAAACCTGAATTTGGTGATTGGCAAACAGCTCAAGTAGCTGCAAAGGCGGATAAATTTACATTAGAAAATTTGTGGTGTGGTTCACGGTATCAAATAGCTGTGACTGCATACAACTTGTAAGATACATTTATAAAAACATAAGTGCTAACTCTAGATTGAATTAATTAATTTACTCAAAATGTATATTTTAGAATTGGCACGGGTGATGAATCAGATTTATTAAATACAAAAACCACTGGCTCAAAGCCTAAAATTCCAGAAGCAAGTAAATTTATTGAAGTATCAGCAACAAGTGTAACACTTCATTTAAATGCTTGGTTGGACGGTGGTTGTCCTATGCTATACTTTGTAGTGGAGCATAAAAAAAAGTAACATTTGATAAAAATTCTTTTTGAATAATTAATTTTTATAATTAAAACTTTGTATACTTATATTACTTATATTATTATTAAGATCACAATCAGAATGGACTCAAGTTTCAAATAATGTAAGACCTGGAGGAAATTTTGTAGTACTTGATTTAGATCCTGCCTCATGGTATCATTTAAGAGTAACTGCTCATAATAATGCTGGATTTTCTGTGGCTGAATATGAATTTGCATCACTAACATTAAGTGGAGGTAAGTAATTATTTTTATTAATCTGTCCTTTTATCCAAAACCGTTTGCTCACTAGGTGGTGCATAATTAGTACTTGGAACAATTTCTCGTATTTGAAAATATTATAAATAAATGAATTCCAATTTCCTTGTTCCAGGTACTATTGCCCCAGCTCGTGAGGTTCATCACAACGGTTTTGGTTCAGCTACTGATACTGCTATACGTATCATATTGGCAAATTTGAATCTAGTTATACCAGTCACATCAGCTTTATTAGTTATTATTGTGGCCATAATCTTCTTGTGTTACTTAAAGAAAAGAGGAGTGGATATCAAAGGTTAGTTGTATTTTATTTTTATTTTATTTTTTTAAGGTACTATTGCTCCCCCTGTACAAGATGTCACATCTATTTATACATACTTGCCATGGATACCAAAATGGATTGATTTAAATGTAGTGGTGCCGACTGCTGCAACAATTATAGTCATTATTGTTGGTATAATTGTGGTTTGTTTTGCTTGGTCTCGTAGAGTTCATGAAAATGGACAAACTAGATTGAGAGGTACATAATATTACTAACTTCAACTACATAAACTCTAAACCAAAATCATTTTCTATTAATATAATATATGATATACACATAATAAATGTGGTATATTGGTATGTATACACCAGGAGTAACTAACATGAAGTCTTAGATGTCTACATCAAAAAGTGTAATATGAGTAACGGCCAAAAAGAATGTAAATCTAACAGATCAGGATGTCAGCTCAGTAATACTTTAGATTACATCCAATTAAAAAGAAATTATTATTTATAAACTATTAAAAACATATAGTAAAACCCATAATTTAAATTATAACTTTATTTGAAAAAATCTAATGCATTTTCTGGATTATGTTACGAGCTATATACTCCTGGTATGTATTTTTAATATTGTGCTTCTGTGTATGTATAATATCAATGAATTTAGCGAGAAAACGTGGATATTTGTGTGTAATATTTATTCAATGTGTACAATTCTTTACTTACAAAATATACCTATTAACTTGGATAATTTTAAAATATCATTCATTTTTTATTTTTTTGTATGGATATATTAAAATATGTAATATTATTATTAGATGATATGACCGTTTATAATCAGTCAATGATTATGGGAGGTAATACACTTGACAAGAGACACGCAGATTTCAATGATGAACTTGGTTACATAGCACCTCCCAATCGCAAACTTCCACCTGTTCCTGGTTCCAATTACAATACATGTGACAGGATTAAAAGAGGTACATTGAAGTAGTTTACTAATATAATACTTTACTGTCCATGTTTGTTTTATATTATTTTGCTTCTTTTTATAATTTGAGTCCGCTCGATTTCGTTTTTATTTTGCGTTTAACTATATTATTTTTGTTCTCGTCACATTTATCAATTAGGTTTTCCCGGCCCTTACCACGGTCACGGTACATGGAACCCTAGAGCACGTCATATGTATGAAGAACTAAATGGTAGTAATCCTAGGTGTAGGGGGCATTTGCCCCCATGTCCAGGGTCCGACGAGACAATGTACACAAGGTGTAGAGGTAAAAAAGATGACAAAAGAACGATCAACTATTGCACGGCAGCTTTATTATTTAATATCAGCAGTGTGAGAGTTTCATTAACCATTTACAAACAAATTTAGAACAGTGTGGAAGCTTTAAGCTACAAATATATTATCAAAAGCTACGTTTAAAAATGAAGCTGGTATTAATTGATATTATATTGATAATAAATTAACACTATTGGTGTAAGCAGTATCTGTTGCAGTTGAAATATTAGTTTTGAAATAACAATTTTATAATTGTATATAGCAATATTTCTATTGAGTATTATTCAATAGTTACAAGTTATTAAATAATATATAACTATTTATAAAACGCTAACAATTTATGAATACTTAAATCACATCTCTGAATATGATAATTGACAATTGTTATTATGATATTTAAATATTAATACTATCATAATATGTGTTGTGTAATAACATACATATCATACTATTATGTGCCTTCTTTCGCTGTCGCGAGTTGCTTTGGGTTTTTTTTAAACTATGTTTGAATGAAAAATGTATTTTTTATATGGTTAAATATTTAAATAATTTCAGGAATAGATGGTGAAGACATCTGTCCGTATGCTACATTCCACTTACTTGGTTTTCGTGAAGAGATGGATCCTTCAAAAATGCCGTTCCAAACTTTCCCACATCCAAATGGACATTGTGGTACTATTGGACCTGGTGGAACTATAGCTAGTAATGGTCTCATGCATCAATGTCCAGGAACCCAAACTATGGTAAACTTAAAGAATGTTTGATCTATAAAAAAAATTCTTAATTTATGTGTTAACTATAATATTTTTTACATACTAGTTTAAAAGTATTGAAGTATCATTGAAAATTATAATTGTGTTATAATTAAAATACAAATATTTGATTTCAGCCTCGAAATGGACGTTATTCTCGTGTAGGTGGTGCTAATTCCATGTTTTCACCAGAGTATGATGATCCTGCCAATATGGGGGATGAATATGGCAGTCAATATGGACAATATGGAGCTCCTTATGAACAGTATGAAAGTCGTGCATCAATGGCTGGACGTAGTATCGGTACTAATTATTATACTCCTAAACTCTGAATTAATGTTACATTGTTCTTCAATTTTTTTATGTACATGCATAAACATATATACATTGTACATAACATATAAATCAAATATTAGTACCTACATAGGTAGCATATTATTTAAGTTTATAATGTTCAAAGTTTTACTTATTCTAAAACTATTTTTCATGCACATTATATTATTTACTTAAACAAACATTAATCTAGTCTTTTATTAATGTAATTCAATTTAAACATTAAATAATAACAGGAAGCCCAGAACCACCTCCACCTCCACCTCGTAACCATGATCCAAATGTGAGCAACACAAGTAATGAAGCTAATGATTCCAAAGACAGCAACCAAATTTCTGAAGCAGAATGTGATCAACATCAACAACCAGCTACTCAGAGTTATGGTGGTAAGCTTGAAAACTATTTCAGTACTTAGTAACTGTATTATTGATAACGCTTTTTAGAATAGTTGCAACAATGTTTTATTAGTTAATATGGATGTATGTAAATTATATTATCTTAATTAAGTTAATAGCCAACTTAAGATTATCACAAAATTTGTTTGCATTAGTTCTTGGTATTGTTAATCTTAATTGCATTTGTTTTTCTTTTTACACAATATTAAAACTAGGCAAACGTTTGCGGCCACATCCCACTGCAAGAGGTATTTTGGTATGAAAGGTAAATAAATTCACTATTACAATAGGCTTAATGGTGATTCATTTACATTGTTCTAAAACAAATTGGTCTACATAATTTATTAATGATTTCATAATTGCCTAATACTATAATATATTTTGTTTAACCTTATTGTTTAACTTTATTTGAATTCAGAAATCCTATAATTAATTTATATACATATATATGTATATGGTCTGTAGATCCCGAGACTAAATATACCTAATACATAATTTGGTTCCTAATCTATTATACTCACCTATGTAGACCACTAATAAATATTTAACAAGTTTTATTGGTTTTATACCTAAACAATTGAATTGTTCCTTTAAGTATATTTATGTTTATTGAATAAATTATGTGTTACTAAATATTACCATTACTTATCTATATAACCAAAATCTAACCCAATATTCATGCACCACCAATAACTATTCATAATCATAATATGCATGAATTCTATTACTATTTAAAAATTTAGATGGTTTTGCATGCACAATGTCTAAAAGGTAAGGTTTACTATTATATTCAATATACAGTAAAGTTATCAATTTGATTTAATCCTAATAAATAAATAACAAACCTACCTATCATTATTTTAAGATCATTGCTTAACTGTTAAGTTGAGATCAGCATTTAATTAAAATCATTATATGCTTTGATCAGGGGCGCCCGCAGACAGGGGCCAGTGGGTGCCATTGCACCCACTGGGATTTTTTTAATGAACCGAAAGATCAGTGTGTTATAATGTACATAATATGTGACTACTAGGGTGTTCCTTAGCCATACGAGAAAAAAAAAATAATGATATATTTCTAGTCTCGCTCCCTAAATCAGTGTGTATACATATAAAAATGAACTGCAAAAAATTTTAGGTCTATCAAATAGAGTTAACTCGTGCCAACTTGAAGTTGAAGTTTGAGCTTAATACATTTTTAGATAATTCTAGACATTTTTAGTATTTCTGTAAATTTTTCGTAAACTGTTATGAAAATCGTAATTTTTCATCATATGTTTTTTCAAGTAAATTAAATTTCCAATATATTTTAGTCACTGACTACCTATGTACGTATCACATAAATTTAATTTTGCACCCACTGAGCTGCTTTTCTGCAGGCACCTCTGGCTTTAATATATTAATTTTTCATCTGTATTAAAACCTAATAATATTTGCTACTTATGCTTTCAAACTAAAAAAAAAAAATGTACATATTGTTCTAACACATAAACGAATAAATAGTAATAGACTAACATGGACTTGTCTGCATTATCAAAAGCATATTCTGCTTAAGGTGCTTCAACACATTTCACGTTGCTTCGACAGCCATTTTATAAACTCAACATCTGAATACCAATGAAAGTAGCCTATTAATTTTGATTTTCAGCGCATTTGAAGGGCAATACCAAGGATGGTATGACCACAGAAGAACTTCGAAAACTCATAGAAAGGTCAGTGAAATAGGCCTACACAACATGTTCAGAACATTTTAGTACATACTGATGTACAAATAAATAAATTAACATAAGCTACATATTTTATATATTTTTAAACTGACCAAAATTACCCAATAAACCCATTAAAATTAAAGAAATTGCCAAAATTTAATTTAAAAATGCATTTTAGGACTATTAAAATTATTTACATTATACAATATAAGTGTGAAAATTAGTTAGATTTTACCCTTAGAGATTTACAATGCTTGGAAGGAATGCATTCACAGGAACTTGTTCCAATGATTTTGTTTAACTGTCAGGTTAGGTTAGGTGATGCAACATAATGTAATTGCATTAATTTTTTAGAGAAACATGAACGAACATTTTTGTTCATTTGTTCTCAAACATAGGGTAATTAAATAATTTTCGTGGCAAAAGTATTTACAATTTTTTTTTTTAGAAATTCAGTCAATATTATACTACAATATACGATAATATTGAGGAAGGAACTAGTTTCTTTCTTCAAGCCAGGAATGAGAAACGATTTAATTAATTTTTAACAAAGTGAACGTAACTAATTCCTTTCTTAAAGAAACTTTCCAAGCACTGTAGATTTAACAATCATATGTTAACTTGTTATTTAATTTTGTGTGTGTTTAATGCATTGGTCATAACTTAGGAAACCGTAAGTATTTTTTTTTTTTTGTGCTATTTAACTATACCGCTCTCATAAATACATAATATTTATAATACCATATTGTCGTGCATTGTGTTTTATAAGTTAAAGTAGAACTGTGTGATATGAGTTTTTAAGTAGTATGCATAGAAGACAATAATAATATGGTATTTTATTTTATATGACAGTACATATAAACTGTCATTTTAACATTTGTGATTTAGATATAAACCATCTACTTCTTCCTTATTATTAAAACAGTATTATTTTTAATACAATATCTTTTTTGTGACTAATTATCTTAATAGTTTCCTTAATAGGTATTTCAAAAACTATTAATTTATTATTTGCTTATAAAATGTTCACATGTTGTTTGATTTGTTTGTAGAAACGAAGCCCCAGCAGGACAACAACGCCTCCAAAGCGGAGGGCTCACAACCTACGATACTGTGGCAGTGTAACCTCTAGTCAGCCTACAACCAAAATATTAATATTTCATATTATCTCGATAAACAAAAATCCTTTTCCCAAAATATTTGATCTGCACTTTAAACTATATTGCGTTTTTAACAGATTTACTTATGCACATAATGCGAGTAAAATAATATTAGACTCAGATAACAATGTCCCAATTATGAGTGTTTTATACAATAAGAATCCTAAGTGTTGTGTCTTTTTTCGCTTTAGTGGTTTAGATATTAAAAATTATGTCCTATTTTAAAATTTAATTATATGTAAAGATCTGTGAATATTAGGTTATATAATTTAATAGACATTTTTAGTCTAATGTCATTAGTTTACCAAAAAAAAAAAAAAAAATAGTAATAAAATTATTAGGAATTTTACAATTCCATTAAAAATATTCCGCTAAAAATGTTTTTTTGAGTTCCTTTTACACGAGTACAAAAGTATTGATGCGCCATTTATGATGTTTCAAGCAAATATTAGATACTTGTTTATACTACAGTAATCAATTTACTATATTTTATGTAGTTAAGATGTATGCTTTTTAAATACATTCTAGTATAATTTACTATTATTATTATTTCTATAATTCAGAATAGTAAATTCTCTCTTCCCATTGTCTATATTTATGATATATATTTTTAAATTAAGTTTTTCTATCTTTGAGTAAACATTTTTAGTGCCTAATTCGAAATTATGTGACTAACTTCCTTTATGTTCTTCCACTTTATCAAAATTCAAACCACTAAGTGTGAGATGATTTAAAATTATACTTCTCTTTATTCTTTGAACTGTTTAATTTTTAGACATTTATTACTGAGAATCTAATGTTACTTTAGTTAACATATAAACAATAGTTGTTTTAATTTTGTTAATACTTTATTTCAATGGTGCATTCAATATTATAGTTTTGTGAACGTATTTCTTCATAAACTTATTATTACCAATTTATATTATGTATTAAGTAACCTGATATTTTATTAATTTTACTTCAGCTTTGTGTCATTGTTTTATTTTTATAATTTAAGTTTGATGTTTATGTTGAGTGTGTTGTTCGCAAAAAAAAACATATGTAATCATAATATTGTATTGTGTAAGATTTAGTAGCATTTGTGGCGACCTAATATTTAAAAAAAGTAATTCAGAAACATACATAAGAAATAACATTCTTATCATTTGTAGAACATTTGTATCAATATTGTTTGAATACATTTCGAAACCTTAAGAGTTAAATAATAATATGCAATTTACTTTGTATCATTATTACTTTTTTTTTTTACCAAATATTGCTCAAGTTTTTTTACTTTATTCCATTCAAAATTACTTTAACAATAACAATTAAATCCTCTTTTCACACATATATTATTTCCTAATAATTAAAAAAATAATTTTATCTTTACAACAAAATCATTCTTTTCTTTACATTTTATAAACTTTAAATACTATAAAATTAAAATATAAAATTAAACCTAGTGCCAAAATTTGCTTTGTGTTTGACATTTTGAAATTATGAAATGTCTACAATTTAAAAATCTTTAAATTTATAGAATATTAAGTAATAGATGAAAATTAAAAACTTATGTCTCATTATAATAGTAATGAATAAATTTTATACCAACTTAAATTATTTGTGTGATTTTAGTATATTATTATTATTAGGGAGCAGATTTTGTATAAGTTTATCTAAAAAATATTCAATAGATTTAAAAACAATATATTAACTTACAGTTAATAACAAATTTTAAATTAAAATCTTAATAACGATAAGGTAATTCACCTATTGTGTAGTTGTATCTTAGAGATCTTAAATTATATATTCAACGAGTTGAAAAATATATTAATAATAATTGTTATTGTACTAGAAAAATATCTGTTCCCAAATTATTATATTTATTATTATTATTATTACAATATTAACTAATTAAATATTTTAAATTAGACAACTATATTAAAATAATAAAAACTACAGATATAATACTACAATAAACCTTAATATACGTAGATTTTGAAACTATACATTATTTTAAATCGTAAAATAAAAAAAAATTAATTTGGTTTTTTAATGATTACAGAAATATTAGATGTTAAATCTTATAAATAAAAGGTTTTAGAAAATACAGTTTTTTTTTTTTTAATATACAATAGTTTGCAATGCCATACGTAATGTTTCTCTAATATTATAATATTTCATGTTTATTATTAATTATTATTAACATACATTTAAGATTAAACATTTTAAATATTACATATTATTATTAAATATATTTTTTTTTTTTTGTAAGTTGTACCTAATACTCAGCTTTATCGATATATAATAATAACTACTGTATTAACTATATATTATATTAATATTATATTCGTAACTATTTGTAATGCTATTTTACTGTACGTCTATCATAATAAAATGATTATTCCATAAACTTTTTAGTATTTTTAATATTATTTATTGAAAAAAAGTATAGCATAAATTATTAACAGTGTATTTAATATTTTAATTCTATAACGGCTTGAACATAGTCATGACGTCATGTTTAGTATAATAGGTTTGAGGTGTTTTATATATTTAGTTTTGCTTTTCCCTTCTACTCAGTTTCATTAAAAATATTTTGTTAGGACTATACTTTTCCAATGGACAGAAAATATTTATTTAAATTTTTTAGTTTGGTATATTTTAATATAATTTTGCATCTATGGATAATTTGCTCAATTTAAGTTTTGCTATTTAAAATAAAATTTTTAAGAGTTTTCAAAAAGTAAAATTATAATTCTTATTTTAATTCGGGATTCTTACATTTGTTATGAGTATGGCATAGGGAATTAGGTAGATACTTCGATAGATTTAGCCGATTAAGGATGATCAAATAAAATTTTTTAATATTTATTTCCTCGACTTTTAAGTAAGTATTGTCAAAATAAAAAACTAATGAGGACTATAATTTGTAAATAGACTGCCGGGAATCGATTAACATCAAGAAGGTAATGGATTTTTCGTGTAGGTAACTGATAATTATAATTTGTTAAGTCTGTCTCTAAAGAGTAAAAACAGGTACCTAAGGACTGAGGTAGGTACTAGGTAGTAAGTTCCATGAATAAAATAGTACATTGAGCATTGGTGCAATACCACTTATTATTTTTTCAACCAATATTTCATATTTATTCCCATAACGATCATCATAACATCATATTAGGTATAAGCAGGTGTACCTATCCTAATATTAGTTTCTAAAAATCACGAAATGAAGAAAACGTGTTCCGTAACTCAAATACAGTCTTGATTTACTGATACACAGGTGGCTATTACGCTACTTTATTATTAGGTATGTCATAAATATATCATAAATCTATTATTTTTATTAGACTCACAGAGATAAGGACTATATGCCTACATTTAATTTTTTAATTTTCTTATTTTTGAAACAATTGAAGACATCCATTATGTGGAGTAAAACAGTTTAGGCTACTAATCGAGTCCCTACGACCCTACCTTTAGCCTTTACGGCCAATGAATATATCTTCACAGGGCACCTTGTATAGATACATCCCCAACTATGAGAATAATCAGATTATCAAACGTCAAAATTAAAATCGAGATATGCGCTTGAAAGAAATTTAAAAATTGAATTTCATTCGGTATTTGCAGAATATGTGTAAAAAAAAAAATTTAAACCAAATTTAATTCATCAACTTTTTTTTATTTTATTTTTGTCACCAATTGTTTAAACTTCCTTCTTGATATTATTGTATTGTATCGAATAATTTCTAAATATATACAACATGAGGCTGTTGCAGTGTCGTATTTAGGTGGGGATGATGGAAACCGGTGTTAGCAGCTGAATTTTTTTAAAAATCCAATGAAGTGGAAAATGTTTAACATTGGTCAACGTTGTTACACGGTCTATAAATGTATATTTACCGAAAATGTATACTGATCATATAGATAATGTCCTACTTGAAATAAGCATTCCTGTATTGCCTATGATATCAACCATATTTAAAATAATATTGTAACAAACATAGAACGGCGTGAATTGTCTTATATATTTTGTGCCTATATGCCCTTAATGATTAAAACGGATTTTCTTAACCATGTTGAAATAGGTATTACATTTTGTTGATATTATAATGATATGTAACATTATTAATACCAATACTCCATAAGCAAATACAAGAAAACACCGTTTTCATAAAAAATCCTGTTAAGATAATATTATAAAAAATAAAAAATTACAGTGTATAATAGTGCTCATGACTATCTATCCAAGAATGCAAGAGACACCTCTGTCATTGCCATTCATTCTGACATGCGCAGCTCAAGTTTGATTTAGATTCACCTCGACTCAACCATTTATAATATATACCTACCCATGTCCCATGACCTTATACTACCGACTTGACAGGAACTGTGTATATCAACCATAGATAATAGATATTATTCTCTTTATTATCTATGATTTCAACAGCATCGTGAGCGGCGAAACAACATCTAGCAGTGATGTAGCCTGTCTTTACGACAATAATAATAAACAAATAAACAATAATCTAAATATCTATATATCTTAGGTACAACTGGCCCTTACCTTACGAGTACTACCCCGCATTTACCGAGCGTAAGAGTGATCGAAAGGCGCCCTCTATGTTGTTACGCTTTCCATACATTCATTGCTTGTCTAGTAGTGTAAGGTCTATGTATCAGTAACGGATCCAGGGGGAGGGGGGTTATAGGGTAAATATCCTCCCCCTTGAGGTAATAACGTGCCCACTACCCAAAATAATGGTGATATTAAAAAGTATGTTATTATGTATGAGCGTTGGATACATTTCAATTTTCCCCCTTGATAAATTTCTGGATCCGCCCCTGCTATGTATACCCATATTGTATGCTCAATAAACCTCTATGTAGTCAATTACTGCGTCTAGCTATATGATGTGTACCCTAGGGTCGGAGCTTCGTTTTTGTTTCGATCACAGTGAAAGCTCGATAACTCAAACGTCAATAAGTCGAATTTTCGATTAGGTACTGGAAGGTTTGTCTTAGCCCCTGTACTTCAACATGAAGTGTTGATAGGTAGGTAGATAGGTAGATACATACAATTTTTTCTATAACTCGAATATCCTTTAGGTAACTGGATTTTATTTTTCGACTCCGACCGATTTGAGGTATTAAGATTTCACGTTGTATACACTTACCAACTGACAATTTGTTTTCATTTTTTTGTAATGAATTTATGTAATTATGTGATT